TGCCACCACCTGCTTTGGCCGATAACTCGACCTTGCCAGCTGCCCTGTTATCTCTTACTCAGCAGCACTTCCATTTCTGAGAAACAGCCCCCAAAAACATGTCACAGAATTCTTCCTGTCCACTGGCTCACAGGCAGGTCCAGCATGTGGGCACGAGGGCCAGGCGACCTGCCCAGCCTCCTGGCTCTCTGCCTGGCTGCTCTGGCAAGCAGCCTGGTTGCTTGCCTTATGCTGGCTGACCTTCCCCAGCTCCCCAGACAGCCCCAAGGCTTGGGCAAAGGAGCCTTCAGCTTCCTCATGCCCAGCAGGTCTTGATGTCTCCCAGTCTCCTTCCTAAAACAGCTAGTGCTGGTTCCTGGGGCTCGATAAGACTGTGCATGGAGCTCACTATGGGAAAGACAGCTCCTGTCATGCTTCACCCAGCACTCCCCGTCCTGGGAGCCCCATTCACCGGGCAGGGCAAGTGGGTGCTGGGGTGCATGGAGCAGGAGTGGTTGGACTGGGCACAAGGGCCTTGGCCATCTTCAGAAAGGACTCAGTGAGAGACTCTCCACGGTTCTCTCCCCTGCTGCATGCGTTTGCCAGCATGCACATGCAAATGCACACACATGTTCATGCACGCACACATGCGTGCACACGCTGAGCTGTCGGTCCCACCAAGAACAAAGGACAGGATCTTGCCGAGAGGAAGCGGAGACCGTGGCGGCAGGGGGAGGGGCAGGAGAGGGGTCTGTAGCTGCACCTGACCTAGCGGTGCCATGGAAAGCAGCCAGAGACAGCAGCCTTTGTCTCAGCTTTCTTTTCCCTGCTGTCCCTGGGAGGCAGCTGAGAAGGAGCCGCTCTCTGCGGAGAGATGGTGGTCTGCGAGGCTGCAGTGACCTTGTGTCCTTTGCACCAAACCGTTGTGCTCTGGGCATCTTGGCAAACTGGAGGGACCCTTTAGACACACACCCCGGGGGGGGCTTGGCTGTATCACGCACGGCTCTTTGTTGGGGATCTCACGTTCAAGTCCCTGGCCCCTTCCCTGGGGATGGAGCAAACCATCTTCTGGAGCCGTGTATTTACTTGCAGCCCAGCATGGCAGGGGGTGCAGGCTGCAGCCTGCGTCAGAGGAAATGGCCGTGGCTCAAAGGCACAGGGTGTCCATGGGACTGGCCTCGCAGCCAAGGCCGACACTCCGGTTGTCAGCGCCTGACCCGCCTCCCCTTTCAGGGGCTCTCTCTGGAGGCTGGAGTTGGCTCTTACTGTGCCTGTTCTCTGGTGACCCCCTACCCATGCTGGGCATGCAGCAGCTTGCAGTGTCCCTTCGTGGGCGTTCTGTCCATCGGGCTTTGTCAGCAGAGCGAGCTCCTGGGATTGGGAACATGCTTCCTGATCCCACTGTAAAATGCTGTTTCCATGGCCCCATGCATAGAGGTTGCTTGCTCGCCCCCTTCTTCTCTGTAGAGGAGGCTGACCTGCTCAGCGTTTAAACTCCCCAGGCTTGGGAGCAGGATTGGGGGAGATGTATCTGCCCTCTGCGCTGCTGAAATCCCTGTGTGCCAGCTGGGCAGGTTGCCAAGAGCAAAGGCAGGGCTGCTTGTGGCTCTGTGATCACAAATGTGTCACACGGTACCTCCCCTCTCACCTGCATGCAGACAGGACTTGGGAACTACACCTTTCTGGAGGAGGAGTGGGGTTTGTGTGTGTGTGTGTGTGTGTGTGTGTGTGTACATGACCCATCCCTCACAATAATGGTCGGTGCGACCCATCAACAAAGCCCAGACATGAAATTGCCTGGCCTCTGTGGTCCTTTAAAAGGATGGCGTTATCGTACCAGCTCCGTCGTGCTTCTGCATAATGCCACGATCAGTGGGCTGGGCGGGCGAGGCACGTGGTGGAGGTTAGCCGGGACCCAGTTGCCTAGGGAGGGCTGTGCTTTGGCTGCAGTGTATTTCGGTGCGTCAGGGCGCTGTTCCTCAGCACATGGGTTGCAAGCTGCTGGAGGGCACAAAGGGGAACCATGAGGCCGGAGGCACTGGGAAGATTGTTCCAGTCCATGCAAGGGAGAGTTTGCTCCCTGCTGCCTATGCAAACCTGCCTATACCTGTACGTGCTCCATCGGTTCCCATCCTTACAGGCAGCTAGACCCTGAGAGGTCGGGAGGCTTGAATTGGGCACTTATTGGAGTCAGCTGCAGGCAGCCCCTTCAGAGAGGCCACGACACTGGGGTCCCCACTTGGCAGCTGCAGCAGGGAGCATAGACAAGCAAGGGATGTGGCCCCACACAGCCTCCACGCACTCAGGGCTTGGGAGGACCCTGTCTGCTCCAGGGGCTCCAGGCCAAATGGAGCCCTGCAGAAAACAGGCAGCTTTGCCAGGGGGCACCACTCATGTATTGCAGGCCTGAGCTTAGCATTGTCCGTTAAACCTCCAGTGTTGATGCAGTGTGGCGTGGGGCAGCCAGAGCCAGAGCATCCCCTCAGGTACCTCCGCTTCTTATGTAACGTTGGTGAAGGAGCCAGTCTGAAAGGAATTGGCTGAGCTACCTGTCAATCAGCTGTAACTTAGGAACTAAAACCCTTGGGAGATGTCCATGGCAACCGCCACTGCAGCTTGTCCCCAGTATGCTGCCGGGAGCTGGATGTGGTTCCTGATGGAGCCGCCTGCACAGCGAGCTGCTACCTGTTCAGTTCCCGTGAGCCATGCAGCATGGGTCCTTGCTCACTTATCTGCACTTTCCCAGGCCGGCTGCTGCTGCCAGATTTATTGACCCTGGAAACTGTCCTGCTGGGAGGAGGGTGGCCTGAGCACAGCACGGCTCTGGGAGGAGCAGAGGCCTCAAGCCCTGGGGAAGCAGAGGTGCTGCTGGACTGCTCTGAGAGCATGTCTGGGCCCAAGCAGCCTCCTGCAGGGCAGGGCTGGGCAGGGTTACTCTTGCTGCTTGTTATTGTCCCGGTTCCTGTTCGCTGAACCCCTCTGCTCACCCTCCCTCTGCACCGCCTGTTCTGGGCCGCTGCCACCTACCAGGCCAGCCAGACTCAAAGAAAACACCGCCGAGCTGTGGTTCGCCTTGGTCTTTGGCCGGCCCTTCCTGAGGCCGCGGCATGGCAGCAAGAAGAAAGCGGGACCGCTCAATCACTGATAACGTGGCGCTGCCTCCTCGGGGTAAAGTTCTGCGTTGTGGAGCCTGGCTGCCTGCTGACCTTGGATCCTGTGTCCTGCTGGCAGCAGGATTGTTGTGGCTCTGGGCTGGAGCAGAACCGGCCAGCTCCAAGGTCTTTGAGGTGTAACTTGTCTCGTGGTAGGGTTTTATCGCCACTCTCCACCACCGCTCCGAAATTCACATTTTTTTCCTGCTGAGGCCTCCATGTCAGGTGGCCCAGGAGACCGGCTCAGGTCCATAGGGTGCGCTTACCCATGCTGGGAGCTTGCTGGAGTGGCAAGGCAGTCTCTGCTGCCCAGGGGTGCAGCCAGCCTGGGCCTCTGGTCAGAGAGTGCCCCAAGGACTTGTGTGGTCCCAGGCTGGAGCATCACAGAGGTGTGTGGTAGAGAGGTGGGGTGGGAGGGACCCCCAGAGGTCATCTAGTCCAGCCCCCTACCTGAGGCAGAATCAACCCTGTCCAAACCATCCTATCCAATCTATAATCTAAATGGTACATAACCGTCAACCCTGACATAACACAGACCTAACACCCCAACCTGCTACAGGTGAAGCAGGAGACCATGGCAGCCAGCATCCTGGGAGTTGGAGGCACCGGTGTCTCCATGCACTCTGGGCACTTGGGTGCCAACTGCCCTGCTCTGGAAAGGCTTTCATGCCTCCCCGAGGAGCATTGTCCAAGTGCGGGGCATCCCACAGCAGCTTCTCAGAGCACAGCTCTGCTTGCTGGGTGACCTGACACTGGGTTGATGGAGGGCCAACTCCTTGGCCAGGGAGAGCTGCTCCCAGGAAGGGGCAGCGGTTTCTTCAGACTCAGTCTGCAGTAGCCACTGCAGTGCCCACTCTGTGCTGCGGGCAGGCCAAGGCAGGGCAGCTGGCCCCCTGCAGTCCTGGGGCTAGCTCTGTACCTTCCTGGCTTGGGGCAGCCTTCCATAAGCTGTAGGGCATCCCAGGCAGCCTGTGCTCGGTCTCAGGATGGGGAGGGCTTTCAGCTGCTCCTGGAGAGGCAGACGCAGGGGGTTCTGCAGGTTGGGGGGTATCTGCTCTCAGCACTGGGGTGGCAGAAAGAATCAGTGTCCTGGTGCCAGTGCTACAGGAGGAGTCTGACCTGGGGCTATGGCCAGAGGAGCAGGCTGGCTCTGGCGGGGCCTATTCTCTGCTGTGGGTGCAGCTGGTCAGCAGCTGCCTCTGCACTGGCCTGGTTTCAACCTGTGAGGGCTTCAAAGTTCAAGCGGGTGGGGAGACTTTGGGAAGCAGGAAATGCAGGGCTGGCAGAGGCTAGGCTGGGCCAGTGGCTGTAGTCCTGGCTGTGACCCACGTTGGCCTTGCACCCTGAAACCAAGATCTTTGTGTTCCAGAACATCTAGCTGCCCTGAACAACATGGCAGGCAGGGTGCTGCTCTGAGCAGGTCCCAAGTATTTGTGTCCTGCCAGGGTTGGGCTTTGGGAGGAAGGGTCCATGGGGTGACAGGAGGCACTGGTGCAGCCCTAGTTCCACATGTGCCTCTGGCCTTTGGTTCCCAGGGGCTTCGCCCAGCCCAGCTTCCCCCTGTGGCCCCCCAGGCCTATGGTGCATCCTCTCCCTGGGCTGTCCTCCCCACCCCTTGCTCTGACACATGATCCTCTCATGACTGCCCAGTGCCTCCACCTCTGCCCTGCACACATGATACTGGAGCAGGGAGCACGAACCGGCTGACCACACGCTCTGTCCTCCCCACCCCCAGCACCTGGTGCTTTCACTGGCTGCAGAAGCAGAGGGCATCTGCCTTCAGTCAGGCAGGCTGCACTGGTGAAGGACCAGGCCTGGCTGCTGGGTATCATCCGTGCCCCTTACCCTGTCTCTCTTCTCTCATTGCAGGAGCGGTTCGTGGATCTCTATGGCGATGACGCTGCAGCCAAGAGCAGGAGGGGCCAGGAGCGTTTCAACAAGTGGCTCCTGACCGGGGCCACGGTGGCTGGCGTGCTTCTGCTGGGCTCTCTGCTCAGCCGCAAGTAGCCGGTGTGGCCCCCTCCCCACCTGGGCGCCCTCCCCCATGACCAGGCACCCACAACACTGTATGGCAGCAGGAACATTCCAGGGGCAGCGCCCCTGCCCACCCCCACCCCACCCAGCACCCAGGAGTGATTCCCAGGTGCCCTTGCCCCTAGCGCTCGCTGTCCTGCCGCTGAGACCAATGCAGCGTGCGCCTCTGGGCTGGGGGCCGTGGGCCCCCCGCCACCTCCAACCACAGCATGGAGGGGAACACCTCCCTTTCCCCCCAGCAGGATCCTTAGAGGTATCTTCTGTTAGAATAAACAGACTTGTTGGTGTGCGTGCGTGTGTGTGTGTGTAGCTGTCACTAATACCAAGCCTTGTGGGTGGGGATAGGAGCCAGGGACCATTTCCATCCCCCCCTCCAGGCTTCCTGTGTGTGTGTTATGGATCTAGGGAGGTCGGTACCACCTTTCCCATCCACCTGTGGCCCTGGGAGGGGCTCTGAGTTTGTGGCAGTGTAGGGGCATAGTGAGGCATGTGTCTGCCTAACAGAATGACCCACTGCCCAGGGCCCCTGTAAGGCAACTGTTGCCTGGGAATGGGACCATGCCTGGCACCAGTAGGAAGGGGTCAGAGCAGCACAGTCAGTGCCTGGTTGTTCCCTTTGCCATGGGGACTGCTCCTCACACCCCAACCTGCTCTCCCTGCTGCTGGCTCCCTGTCTCCAAGAGGCAGGGCCAGGCCCTACTCCGAGTCCTGTGCCAGGGCCTGGCCCTGCCTCCCTGCTCTCCCCCTCTGAAAGTGGCTGGCTGCGGTGACACCTTCCCTGCATCCTTCCTGCATCTGCTGCTGCTCTGACCGTCCCCAGCCCCCAGCAGGTAACCTGCTTTGCTCTGCTCTTAGCACCTGCATGCATGCTGCAGAGACCCTCCAGGCACTTGGGCCAGGGCATGGAAAGGGGCTAGTTCTCCTGCCCCAGGCAGGGCAGACAGGAGCTGAAAATGCTGCAAAGGCAAGAAGATCTGGGCGGAGGAAAAATATGATGCCAGCAGCCGCACCAGGGAGGTGTTTACCTAGGCTCGTGTCTGCTGGCACGGCTCCCCCAGGGGCCCAGGTGGCGGCTTCCCAAGCCCCTTCCAGCAAGTGCAAAAATAAACAGGGCTGCACTCAGGGGGCCAGGGGGAGCAGCACACCCTCTCATCTGCTTGCCCTGCCCCCGCAGGAGTGCTGGGCTGGGGGGTACCCCCAGGGGACAAGCCTGACAGCATTCCCCTGCCTAGGCCCAATGGGAGGCGGGAGATAAATGTCTCAGGAAACCGGGGAGCCTGGCAGCTGCCACATGGCTGTGGCTAAGGCCCAGAGTGTGTGTGTGTGTGTGGGGGG